AATAAAGAGAGTAGAATGATTCATTAAAATAAACAGTAATAATTTAATTAAAATAAAAAGAAAATATTACTATTTATCTTTCTTTAAAAAAAAAATTTCATGACAACTTTAAAATTAAAAAATATAAATTATTTTAAAACAAAAAACGATATTATTTCTTAAACTCCACCAAACATCATCTTAACCACATGACTCAAATCGCATGCGTTTAGCAGCCAAACATGTACTCCATGTCTAATAGAACGACACTTAGTATAAACAAAACGCCAAAAAAACAAAATCCCGGACCCAGATGCTTTCTAAAAGCTGGATCTTCTGAATTTTTGAAGCATGTGATGGGCAATGAGAAAGCAGGAAGAAAAAAAAAAAAAAGGAATTACTGAGCATAAATTCAATTCATGAAAATTTCCTCACTACCATGCATGACTTTTCCTTCTCAAAAATCCAATCATTTTGACCATCTTGGCTTTTTTTTTTTTTTTTTTTTTTAATGTTTAATAAAATGAGCAATATAAATTTTGAAATTTCTTTGGACTAAGACCAAACAGAAATTTGCACCTGGCCCTTGAAACGTAGTGGCAATAGCCACCCCGGTGCATTCCCCCCTCCCTGGGTTGGGTTCGAAACCCGTCCTTGCAAATATGTTCAAAAAAAAAAAAGACCAAACAGAAATTTGAACATGTGAATTGTAAGGTAGCTTTCTCTATTGAACATTTTGTCCACATATTTGTGAATGGTTCCTCAAGCTTTTGATTCCAATTGTCATAAAATATGCTTCTTTTTTATTGCAATCAGTACGTAAGAGGCAAAGAGGAAGTGTGTACATGTAATTTAAAAAAAAAGAAGAAATTATATGTCCAAAATGAATATATTTATAACTAGTATTGTATCTCTTAATGTATTGTTTGTGGTCAAATATATTAAAAATTCAGCATGAAGCTTTATTAACCATAATTTTTGTTAATTGAATCTATATTTGTCTCAAGCGGATAAGTTTAAGGATTAATTTGCACCAACTGAGCAAATTTTGGGACTGATTTGACATTTTTTACCTTTGGAAAAAGGTACTATTGGATAGAACCATCATTTGGGAAAGGGCTTTTCCAGCAAAGGACAATTGCGGTGTTAAAGTTCCACATCTGGGGATAGGGATAGAATAAACAACAGCAAGTCTTATTGCATAAAACACAAGTGTTGCAAATTTGCAATTGCTTTCCATGGAAAAAGCATATGCTGCAATTCACCAATTATTGATCACAAAACTGGCCTTTTTACAGACCTATTTTGTAAAGTCACAGTCCTATTGTGACCCCAAGACTCCCCCAAGAGCCATTGTCTCCTGGCTCCACTATTCTGGAGTTTTGACAATTTTTGGCCGCCCAGAAAAATCCATTGCTCCAGTAGTGCTCATCATCCGACATGGTCTGTGTGGTAAACGACAATAATTTCCATCAAGGGTTACTTCAGAGGTCCATGGTTTTCAAGAGACTTTAGTTGTCCTTGAATCTTGTTTAGCCTAATTCAGGCTGACGTTGTGGACACTGTTGATTTTATTAACACCACAAATTTTATTAGTTTATAATTTTTAAATAATTAATTATAATATTTAACATATTTATTTACAAATTAATTTTAATTTATTAAGTAATTAATATCAAATTATTTATTTGTTATTAATTATTTTTAATAATTAAATTAAGATAAAAAAATATAACAATTCTAATGGCCCTAACAAAATTCATAGTGATTTAATTTCATGATACAATATTGTAGAAAACAATAAATCAAAAAATTAAAGCACAAATGTACATTTCTTCTAACTATTGATGAAAGAATAGATTTTTCGATATTGAGGGTTTATAACTCTATTAATGGTTAAAATAATATAATTTGTGTAAGGTAGATTACATTACAACATTATTACAATATTAAA